AGGATGCTCTGGTCCCCTAGAAAGCCCCCAGCAGAGAGGTTTTTCAGTTTACTCATCCATTCGTCATTCAGCAACTTTAACACCATCAGCCTTCCCCTTAGCTTTGCTCTCAGGGAAGAACCAAGTTTGCAGAATCCCAAGCGTGGGCTCCTGTCTCTGTCTCACGCCCAGCCTCCTGTGCTCAGCTCCCAGTTCCCACACCTGTATTTCCCACTCACAAGTCTGAAGTAAAATAGTGGAGGGGCAGAGCGAGGAAGCTTTGGGATGTTTTTCTCTGACACAGCACACTTGAGTCCTAATGGCATAGTAAGGACAGCTTTGAGGAACCAGAGTCTTTGCCCTCTAGCTTCAGAAATTTGATCTAGGACTTATGAGAAATTGAACCCCTCCTTTCTAGGTTTTGTTTCCTTTGTCTTGTTTGGAAGACCTTGGGTAGTGTGCAAGGTGACTTTGAACTCCTGATCCACCTGCTGGAATTGCAAGTGTGTGACACGCCGGAGTTTGTGTGCTGCTGTGGTTTGAGCCATCTAACATTTTTTTATTATTACTACATCTTGCTATGAATGTTGCACCGAAACCATGGAACAGAAAATTCTTCAGATATTTTTTCCTTCTATATCAGTGTGGAATGGCATACCAATTGTCACTAAATAAAAAGGAATGCAAAGGTCATGATCCCAGCCCTCTGCCCATGTAAATCAGTGGCCTTTTTGCTTGCTCTTGAAGCACCCTGAGAGAATAGAATTATGAGAATATAGCCCATTTTAAATGCTGGCTTTTGAAAATCTGCTCCGTTTTCTTATTTACTCAAATGCTTGTTATTGTTGGCATTCAGTATAGCTTCTTTTGTCTGATTGCTCTCATGGGACACTTTGTACAATCATGATCTTTACTTCTCAGAGTTGAACCTGCTTCCCTGTAGCCTTTTTGTTTGCTTGCTTCTTTTTGTTCTTTGTTTGGTTGGTTGGTTTACATAAGCTAATGTCCTCTAGCTCAGGATGGTGCTCACCTTGGCATCTTTCTGCCCCAGCCTCCCAAGCAGCTGGAGTGACAGACTGTAGTACTTCGCCTGGCTTTGAAGCCAATCTTAGAGGCTGGACTCCTAAAACTGTCCTTTTGCCAAAGACTTCTCCTGTGTCTCTGGATTTTCTTTTCCAGCAACCTCTTCACCTGTTTCTCTGCACATAAATACTGCATTTGCTGGACTGTGCTCTGGTACTTATTCCCAAAGCATTCTTTTGAGGCAGATCCTGCTATTGACCCCATTCAGATGAGGAAAGAGAGAACAGGAGGTGTGAATTAATTTCCATTTGTTGGATGCAGGGCAGTGGGAATGCTTAGTCCTGAACACAGGCTCTTCAGAAATTTCTGCTTTTGATTTGTTTTACTCGGAGCTACTATTGCTGTCACCGTTACCATGATCAAAACGCCTTGGGCAAGAAACCTGGCTTACACTTCCACATCATTGTTTGTCAGTGAAGGACATCAGGACAGGGACTCAAACTGGGAAGGATCCTGAAAGTAAAAACTGATTCAGAGGCCACAGAGGGGTGCTGCTTACTAGCTTGCTCCCTATGGCTTGCTCAGCCTGCTTTCTTATAGAAGAACCATCAGGCAAAGGATTGCTTCACCCACAATGGTATGGGCCCTCCCTCATCAATCACTAATTAATAAAATCTTCTACAGCATATAGAGGCAATGTCTCAATTGAGGTTTCCTCCTTTCAGATGACTAGTTTGTGTCAGACTTATATAAATTAGCACAACTGACCCCTCGTCAACTTAACATACAAACACATCAATGTTAAGCTATAACCTTTCCTTTCTTGTTCATCCCCAGACCACACATGAACATTAACCTTACAATATAAACATCCCAAACTTCAAACTGGTAAAGACATCCCACAGCCTTTAAGAATTGATACACTGTTTTTAAAAATCTCTTTAACATATTTAGCCTCCTTAAAAATCTTTATAAGTCTTTATAAAATCCCAAAATCTTGTTAAAAGGTTTAAAGTTACTCAACTGCAGGCTCCTGTTTAAAAATAATAATAAAAAAGTCAAATACTGTCTTACTTCAAGATAGAAGATTCAGGGCACATTCATAGTCAAATCTAAGCTAACCAACCTCCAACTGTGTAAATAACTCAATGTCCAATGTCTAGAATCAACTCACAATCTTCTGGGCTCCTCCAAAGGGCTTGGGTCACTTCTCTGGCTCTACCCTCTGCAACACACACAGCTTGTCTTCATGGCTCTTGTTGGCTCAGTTCCATTTCTGCTGCTGGTCATCTCATGGTACTGGCACCTTCAAAACACTGGGGTCTTTGCTGCAGCTGGGCTGCACTTTCACCAACAGCTTCTTCTGGGCCCACTTGATGGTGGCAGACATCAACCTTCCTCCACGACTCTTTCCATTCTGGGGCTTCAGCTGCCACTGTATCTGACCTTCTCCTGGCCTCTCACAGAGCCTCAACTGTCTTCCATTACCCCTTCATGCCTTCAAAACCAGCATGACCTGGTTGATCTTACACAACCAAGTTCAACGGCCAGCATGTGGTACAACCTTGGCAGCCTCTGGAACACACCTTCTGTGTGCTGCCTCTGAGGAAACACTCCCCAGGAGATTTCATGCCACTGATACTGCTCTCTTAATCACCTCTGATTTCTCAGCATTAATTGTCCCAGTAAAGCAAAGGTTTCACCTTAGTAGTTATGGCTTCTTGCTAATCACAGCCAATTCTGCAGTCCCAGCAAACCAGAGCCACAGATTCTTAACTCAAAATACGCAACAACACTGACAAAGTCTTTAAGTGGCTCTCACACTCCCTTCTGGAATTTCATAAGCCAGACCTCCGTCCTCTGCATTTCCCCTAACACTCTTACCTTCCATGTTCTGATAGAACAGACCACTGAGCTTGCAACACTCAAAGGCTTTTCTATTCCAGAGTTTCAAAGCCTTTCCACCACACTCCCTGAAACACATGGTCAGCTCTGTCATAGCAATACTACACAAGTCTGGTTCCAATTTCTGTCCTAGTTACTATGGATGTGATGGGACATGGTGACCAATAGCAACTTGAGGTGGAAAGGGTTCATTTGGCTTATGCGTCCATAGAAGGAAATCAGGACAGGAACTCAAGCAGGGCAGGAAATTGAAGGCAGGAGCTGATGTAAAGGCCAAGGGGAGGGCTACTTATGGGCTTGCTCCTCATGGCTTGTTCATCCTGCTTCCTTGTAGAACTCAGGACCACCAACCCAAGACGGCACCACCCACAATGATATCGGTCCTCCCCCATCAATCACTAATTAAAAAATGCCCTACAGTCAGATTTTTTAGAGAGAGGCATTTTCTCGATTGAGGTTCCCTCCTTCAGATGACTCTAGCTTGTGTCAGGCTGACATAAAACTAGGCTTCACACTATTTTTAAAGTTCGTTTGTCACATTTTTTAAGATAGGGTCTTATGCTATAACGCATGCTGGCCCGGAGCTCATGGCCATCCTCTGGCCTCCCCCTTCTCAGTGCTGAGATTGCAGACACCAGCCACCATGCTTGACAACATTCTCACTTCGAATTTTTATTTTTCTTTAAGACAGGGACTCCTTTTGTGGTCATGCTATCTTTATACTCAGGACGACCCTTCTGTGTTAGTCAGCCGAGTACTGCGATGATAGTTTGTGAGCAAGCTACTGCACCAGGGGACATTGGTTCTTAACCACCATACTGGGCAGTGGAAAGGACCTGGATTGCTGTAACCTCTGGGATATGGCTGCAGCAGGCTTCTGGCCCTCTGCTGCTGAGACCTCACAGCTGAAATGTGTTTCAGCATGCCTGGGTTCTTGCCACTAGTCATCTGGGGCTCCCTTTCACCTGGAAGCACACAATGCCACAGAGAAACCAATGTCGCCCCCAACCCTCATGCTTCTAACTAACCCCAGGACCAGAAGATGGTGTGAGAAGGCAGCTCTCTTGAGATTGGGTTTTGGTTTAGTTCAAAACAGGAAGTCATATCCCCACCTCTCAACAAAAATCCAGCTGTGTTGTCTCTATGGTCAAGAAAACTGTGTTTCGTTTTTATGACATCACAAGCAGAATCTAAGTCTAGGAGATATTTAGGTGCTTTTACCCTTCACACTTTTGTAAACCCTGTATGAAATGAATTTTGTGTTCAGATGGTCTGTTGGCAGAAAAACATTATAGTCTTCTTTGCTATTACAATGAAAATGGGAAAAATGATGCTGAAAATGTGGTACACATTAAAATCACCAATTATGAGGCAGAAGAAACTCACTAAAATCAGACTGGTTTCCTATAGTTTTATTTTGCCAGTTAGATCTTACATCTGTAGCCTTCAGCAGGCAGGGATGGTGGAATGTTTTTGAAGGTCACTCAGTTGTAAACATGGGATGTGGGTCAGGCTGGAAGTGTGTGTGTGTGTGTGTGTGTGTGTGTGAAAGAGAGAGAGACAGAGACAGAGACAGAGAGAGACAGACAGATTGACAGACAGAGAGACACAGAGAGACAAAGAGGCAAAGAGATGAGGGTGGGAAATTAATTATTTATTAACATACTATATTTATTTTAGAAGTATAGGCATGGCCCCCTAGTCAACCCTGACCTCAAAATACGTCAGCTTTATCAGGCTTCCAGTTCTTACTTTCCAGGAACTCCTGCTTCTGGAAGAACTAGAAACACAGAGTATTTTGATCTGATGTAGTGGCCCATTCTGGCAAACATCCCAGCACTAAGGGGCAGCATCTGGGGCAGTATTGAGAGGATTATGAATTCGGTGCTAGCTAACCTTACAGGGTGAGACTCTTATATGTCTGCAATCAGAATGGAGGTGAGAAAGAGAGAGACACTGGAAATATAACTAAACTGGGACCTCCACTCTCCTTCCTACAGCAATAACTCAACCCTGTTGAGAGAAGACACCTACCCATTTAAAGTTAAGTTACAGACCAAACAGCCTTGGAAAAGACTTTAAACAACACATACTTTGTTCATAAAAAAATAAATTTATTTACATATGTCAGTTACCATGGTAGAGCAGCATCACCACAGCATTGCCAGGCCCACTAAGCACCTTGCAGTGGGTAGAAGCCAGCCGGTCAGTGCGTAGAGAGACCAGCCCCAGCTGTCCCCATGCATAGTCCCTGGACCAGGAAGAATAGTGGGTGCCTGGGAGAACATGAACCCCACGTAGGGGTGACCCTATTAGAGGGGTGAAGTGCATGTCCCAAAATGGGCAGTCAGGTAAGACTTCAGGAGACAGTGTTGGTGGGAAGGAGACTGGGACCCAAAACAACCAGCTGCCCCCACACTGATTAGACAGAGGAGGGGGCTCAGAAAGTGGACCCCAACCCCGAGGGATTGGAGGCAAAACCGGCTTCCGGTAGTATATATCACCATCTTGCCACTAAAAGAGAGGCCCCTGGTGGGAGTATGCCACTGTCCTTAGAGACTTCAAAAGAGGCCCCTGCTCAGCTCTAACACCAAGGCCTTGTCTGTCCAGTGCTGGAAAAGAGAACTCAACCATGGTCACAGAAAAGGACCTGGCTGCGCAGTACCTTGCCATCAACCAGAGGGAAAATCGGCATTAGTTTAAAAACCAGCCCGTTTCTGCAGTGAACTCAGATGGCTACCGCGGGTTTGTGCTTAGAGCTAAAGCCCCAGGTTGGATCTCCTCGAGTTCCTCCAGGATACCAGGTTCTCTTAGGCTCCCCAGCCTAAGATGATCCGCAGCAGCCATGGCCTCCTGTGCTCCACGAGGGCAGTCACCGTCCTTTTAACAGGTTCAGGCAAAGGACAAGGTCCGGAATCCAATGGGCCCTCCTTGGCCCAGTCCTTAGCATTTAACATAATCCATCAGCCTCGTGGCTGTCCCTCTAAGCGGAAGTTCCACAGAGTCTGCTGGCTGCAGAAACATCTTTGGTGTCAGAGTCTGGTCGTCCAGAGACCACGAATGGCCACGTCTAAAAAAATCGAAATCAGCGTCAGATACTGAGGAGAAAGAATCTCAAAACGAAACAGGTCTCCCCAGAGGTCATGTCTTTTATTAGTGTTCTAGGAATTCATGCTTCTTCTCGTTTTATTAGCACATCAGTCCTACTGGCTACTGATTATTCGAGACCCACAGCGTACATTCATGCTTTCTCATGCTCTGCCCACTTGATATTTCGGTGAAAAGTGCGAGTGTTTAGGATTCTGTGAATTGTCCCCCCCATCCACTCCCCCTCCCCCGCGCGTAGCCTTTCGCTTCCCAGTACATTTGGAGATCTTTCCCAAGCCCAGGGAGCTGGCAGGTTACACAGGGACTTTCCGGACAATCGCGTCTGGGAAAACTATCCTCCATTAATGTTTTGTTTTGTTTTAAACTACTCAAACTTTTTTTAAAGAGTTAGGTGACCCCCCCACAACCCCCCACAAAGAAAACATCGCTGGCGGATTAAAACCTGCAAGACTGTTGTCTGGAAAAAGTTGGGCATCTGAGATTTTCCCGTTGGGTCTAAAACACAGAAATACTCGCAGTGGGGAGCTGCCGCTTACCCCGGAAGTAGGGAGTTAACTAAATAGCTGTCACTGGGCAAAGGCCCAGGACACTGATCAGAAGGCTGGGTGGTTTTTCTCCAAGAAAAAAGGCTGGCTCCTCCTGCCTTGATTTGGGGGCCACTAAACCAGATTCCTCACCACGAGTTCTAGAAACTTTCCCTTTGGACTCTTCCTCTACCACCGACCCAGCCCTGCACCCGGGGAGCGCTCAGAGCTGCTGGCCCCGGGCCTTCTGCGCTTGTGTCTCTGTTCCTACCAGGTTCACCGGGTGCACGTAGCCGTTTTCGTAGCGATCCTCCTGCAGCAGTTGGCGCAGGTGCGCGATGTAGCTGGAAGCCAGGCGCAGCGTGTCCAGTTTCGAAAGCTTGGTGTCGGGCGGCACCCAGGGCAGGCTGGTTTTGAGTCTGGAGAAGGCTTTGCTCAGCACCCGCATCCGGGCGCGCTCGCGGGCGTTGGCCGCATTCCGCTGCGACTGCTTGCACTCGGCGGCCGAGCCCTTGGGCGGGAGCGGCTTCTTGCTACCTCCGCCCGCACCGCCACCTGCGCCTCCGCCACCTGCGCCACCCGCGCTAGCCGCACGGGGCCGCTTCCTCTTGCAGCCCCCCGGGATGCCCACGGCTCCCAACGAGCATGGCCCCTCTTCACCGTCGGGGTCCTCCTCCTCCGCGGAAGAATTGTCGCTGGGCGAACCATAGCCTCTCTCGCTGCTGTGCAGAGGTGGCCTCTTGGAGGCGGGGGCCTGGTAGACCCTCGGCAGCCCTCGCACCTCCATGTCTTCGGGGTCACTCACCGAGCCGGTGGACATCGCCTAGTCCCCGGCGCCCACGCGCGCCCACCTTCCTCCTCCCCGTCCAGTCTCGCCGTCTCCGGCTTCCGCTCCCTGGAAGAGGATGGGGCGTGGGACAGCTCAGAGAAGTCCCGGAGACCCAGGCCCTCAATGAGCTGGGCTCCTGGAGCAGGCGCGATTGGCCACTGACCCGCCAACCTGGGGCTCTGAACTTGACTCCGGATCCAGAAGTACAGCCGCGCGAGCTGCGCCTTTTGACAGGACTATTTATCTGTACTCCTTGGGACAAACCACCCCCGGCAAAGTAGAGGGGGTTTGAAAGGGGGACAAGAGGTGGGGCGGGGGCGTGGAAGGGGTGGGGATCATTTTTCTAAGCCAAGCGCTTAGTGGGGCGGGGGCAAGGAACATCTGTGCAAAGCCCAGACTTGGGCTCTAGGCCTGATGACTGACCCTAAGAGTATCTGTGCGAGGTAAGTGAGATTTGGGGGCAAAAAGGCAAAAAGACCTTGTTCCCACTCAACCCATTTCCACCTGCAGCTGGTCATAGTGGGCCCTCAAGAGTCGGAGCGGACCCACTGCTGCTTCCCTCCTAATTTGTTCCTCGGGAACTGTCCTTCTCGGAGTGAGTGCAGAGAAAGAGCAAAAAAAAAAAAAAAAAAAAAAAAAACAACAACAACAACAAAAAAAAACAAAACAAAACAAAACAAAAAACCAAGGAGCAGCTCCAACAACCTATGAATCACTTGACTTCTTTCTTTCTCCTCACCTCCAGGATAGCTTTATGATTCACGCAGAACTTTTTTCTTCTTTGGCTGGTGCCATCCTCAGACAACATCTTCAACTTACACGTTATTGTGTCCGTCTTGCAATATGACTGGCACAGCAAATAAATAGGACTCTGTTTAGCATTTCAGTCGCCACAAGCCTCTTTACTACCCGTTACTGCGATGTTGTTTTCCACGGTTGTAAGAGTTCCAAACTGCATGATTTCGTTTTCAGCTCCATAGCGCAATTGTGGACTCTGAGTTGTAGCCAGGGAACCTTTCCATCACCATTTTCGATGCCACACTGAAGAGCAAGGTTTTGGATGCAGAATAGTAAGTCAGCACAATTGCCTTGCCAAAATTAAAGATCAAGGAACGATGAAGCAGCACCTAGACTGCTGTCGTTTCAACTCAGAGCAGAACTTTGCCTTCCCCAACCCCAGAGCGAACACACCAAGATTTGGGGTTCACTTCTGAGGTGGGAGGCAGTCACAGTGTGTGCTCAGGGGGAAGGACTTTGTTGAAGGAATCAAATGTAGATTCCAGCTAGAGCTCCTGTTGTTTGCCAGTTTGGGGAACTGAGCCCTGGCTGACAAGTTAGAAACTGAGTTTCCTTCCTTTGCAGCTTAATTGCTCACTTGTCCTGCCCTTGGTTCGCAGGTTTCAGGGTGGGACAAGCAGATGTATGGGAGGCAGAGGCTGCCTGGCAAATGAATTCTAGACTTCAGAGCAGAACAAACGGAGGAGCCTGATCCTGGAGTACTGTAACAGGTGGCTAAGCAGGAGCTGATTGCAGACCTCAGGCTTCACTCCACCTTGTCTCCCAGGCCATGCCTCCCCTTTAGGGATGTCTCACACACCCCTCCTGCGCGCTCCCACTTCAGACTTTCCTTCTACATTTTGTCTTTGGTTGGGGATGGAGTAAGAGAGGTAGGTACCCATTGTGAGACAAGGGTCTTCTGCTTTCAGATTTTGGGGCAGTGGAAATGCAGCTGTATTTAGCAGAGGGTGGAAAGGTTTTGCGTTTTATGTTTTATTTTTTTTGAGTGCTTGCACTTGCACTTGACTGTAGGCAAGCCTGTCCAGGCAAAAGGAGGAGGGGGGAGGGGGTTGGGGGAGGGGTCCACAAAGATGTAAGGCAGAGGTGTTACCTATAGATGACTTGAAGCCATCACTATAAATACATACTCTCACACATTAGGGGCAAGCATATAGGTTTTAAAAATCTGGGTTGTTTATACAGGTGCAGAACAAAGCCTTTCTTTAGAAAAGATTAATGGTGGGGAGCACGCTGAATTTCTCTAAACAGTTCCAAATACTGTACCCAGCGTCCATACTGAGGAGTAAGGCCAGTTTCTTGTCCCTGAAGAAACTGTCTGATCCTGGCAATTCAGGCTTTTTTTTTTCCAGAGCACTTCACTTCTCCTCTCTTCTCCCTCTTTTTTTTTTCCTTTTCTTTTCCTTCTACTCTCTCTTGTGAATGAAACCCTCTACAATCCTTCATGAATTCTACACACTTCCATTTCGTTTGTTTTCCCCTTTCATTGTCCATTTTATTTCTAGTCTGGTTGTGGCTCCTTCCTTCACTCTTTCTTCAAGCCCCATAAGTGTGAGGAGATCTGTGGACTGCCTCTACACTGCATATTAGTCTGCAGCTGCAGTTTGCTCTAATGTGTCTGCAATATCTGACATTTGTTCTCTCCTCACACATTCATGCACTTGACTCTCCTTACAGGATCACAAAACCCAGTGAGTATCACAACGTGACTCCAACTCTCTTGAAAGCCCATTTTTGTGTTTTGGGTTTTATTATTATTATTTTTTGCTTTGTTTTGTTTCATTGTTTTGATGATGCCACACATTGTAGGTGAATAATGAAGCCTTTACTTTTGCATTAATAATGCACACTGCAATCAACTCCTATTTGCCTACACTTAAACTTATAGGTTTGTAGCAGATGTAAACTGTGGTCTATTATTTATGTTCACAGTCTTGACAATTTTAGCCATATTTGTTCTAATTGTGCAGCGGTGGGTGGGTGGAGTTGGTGTTCCAATATAAAACAAACATCACTGTATTTGAATATGTTGGGTCATTCTTGGTTTCCTGCTTTTTTTCTTTTGGTAATTTCCTTTTATTTATTTATTTTTCAGCCTTAATCTTGCTATATAGCCCTGGCTGATTTGGTACCTTTTACATAGTTCAGGCAGGACAATCTTTGTGTCTTACCCTCCCTGGAGATTACAGGCACATGTTGCTATTTTAAAATAAGTATATGTGATTTAACAGGCATAAATTACTCATTTATTTAAAAAATGTGGGGTAGAGGATAAGAGAGACTGGATATGCAGTTTGGGGCCTAGAGCTTTAAACCTTGCATGTGCCAGCAAATGGTTTACTACCAAGCCACATCGCCAGTCCCATGTTAGCTTTTTGTAATGGAGAAGGACATTTAGGAGAAACTACCTATGTGAAAACCTATACACAGGAGAGGATCACTTCGGGGCTAAGGACAACTGCCTATGTGAGAATCCATACCCAGGAGAAGACCACTTAGTGCCAACTTTTATTATCCACCTAGAACCTTGTCTTGTCAACATACAAGGAAAGTGTTTGTGGCTTTTATTTTAAACTTCATGCTTGCTCTGGGCTGTGGCTAGCATCAAGATGTGTTACTGCTTTGAGGTTGACTGTCCTGTCCCCAGACAATTGCCGCTGTTCCCATAAGAGCTCTTTACTCAGGGAAGGGTGAATGGAACTTCACTAGAAACTTTCTCCCCACTCCAAATGCTTTTAATACAAATGCAAAGCACTTCTTCAATCCCTCCCTTAAAAGGGGGACATGAAAAGGAAATAAACGTCCTAAATGACTTGCTGACATGATAAAGGAGATTGAGGTATACAAGAAACAGCTTGCTGAAGTGGATCGCTGAGAAGGGCCTCTTTTACAAAACACTTAAAATGCATCATTTCTGAAGGGAGTTGCTGCCTGGGGTCACAAGTATGGACCACAGCAAACAGACCCATCATTCATTGTCACCTCCTTCTAGCTCTGCAGTAAGGCCTTGGTGTGAACCACTGGAGATGGGTGGACCATGTGGGCATGGGGAGGGCAGCAATCTCCTCTATTCTTTGTGGCCAAATGAAAACCATTTAGTATGTAGTTGTTGAAGAAATACTTGCTGGGAATGTATGTTGGTGGCCAGTCCCCTTCTGCCCTGAGCCTTAGAGATATCTCTGTCCACAGCCTCCTGATGTGCAGTAGTCTCCCATTGGCTGGAAGAATTCCCCACTCATTTGGAAAAATTGTACCATGGTCTAGAAAAACAAAAATTTTAGAGCCGGGCAGTGGTGACGCACGCCTTTAATTCCAGCACATGGGAGGCAGAGACAGGCAGATCTCTGTGAGTTCGAGGCTGGGCTGGACCGACAGCCTCGAAAACAATACAGAGAAACCCTGTCTCGTAAAAACAAAAAAAATTTTTTTAGACCAGCACTGCCCACTCTAAAAGACACTGCCAATAGTGGCTGGTGCAGCATAGATAGTTAAGAGCTTCAGGGTCCATATACACTGGGTACTGAAGACACCAATAATAAAAGAATGTGAAATATCAACATGCGAAGCAATGTGCACATTTTGAGTCCACTGAATTCAATAAGATACACCAGAAATTTTCACTTTTTTATTATAAAGTTTGTTGTTGAAAACTTAAGAGTTAGTTAAATTTGATAAAATGTATATTTCTTCTGGGTGACTCAGGTTGAAATTCACTATGCCAGGAGAAACTGAACATCTGGCTTGTTGTGGCAAGGCATTTGTAAAACTGACTCCTTGCTCCTGGGAGGGTAAATTCTGGGGGAAACACCTGAGGTGCAATGCACGGCACAGAGGTCTCACTTTTCTTGTGTCTCAGCACCTGTGTCTGCCCATCTGTGATTCTGCAGCTCCAAGAGCAAGCAGACACTTCTGCTTGGGAACTGCAGACCCATTTGTTAGTGAAGTGTGCAAATGCGTGTGCCCATACACACACACACACACAGGCACATACACACACAGATGTAGGTTTTAGTTCATGATTCTTGAAGACAGGGCTGAAGTGTCAGGTTAGGCTGTCTTGCTTTCTCAGGACAATACCTACATGCAAGTACAATTCCCGAGAGAGGAAGACAAAAGGTGGGCCACGTTTGGCATCAGTCATGTGGTATTTCACGCACTTGCTGTACTGTTGTGCTGGACTCCTGCCTGGCACAGGGTTAGGTTTGTGTCTCTAAAGGTAGAGGTTCATTTTTGTAACTGTACTGGAAACTATGAACCTTAGGTTCAAGTCATCCTTTCTTATGTCATTGCTGATAGGGGGAATGACTAGAATCAATGACATAATCATTCTTCTCTTTCTGGTATCTTTATCTTAGTGTTTGCAACAAGCTCTTAGCTGTATCTCCATGTCCTGGATAAACTTAGTTTGTCTAGATGCTCATGCTAGAGGATGGCAGAGGCAGAAGAAAGGTATAAAAGCTGAGGTTAG